AATAAAAAAATTCCATCAAACAACTTTTGAGATTTGTAAAAATATGAATTAAGTAAACTGGTTTTATACTCATAATATAACTTTATAATATACATGTAAAAAAGTCCTAATTAAATACACTTTGACGTCCACTATAGAATTTTAAATTAGTTATTTTAATTAATCTCGATTTTTTAAGTATGAATAAAAACTAAATTTCAAATTTTGGGGTTCTTGGCTATGTTCAGAATTATAATACTTAATAATGACTAATATTTAAAAAGCCTTTTGGTTTTTTTGACTCGCCGTACAGTATGTTTTATTTTATTTTGTTTTTCGCTTAATTTGGTAGCTGTGGCCATTTGTTCAAAATTATTTATACAAAAATAAAACATAATACTAACACTATTTAAATTTGTTTCTAAATTAAAAATTAATTATTAAAATTTTTTTTAATCGAGATATTGTTAATATAACATTATACCTCGACAATTAAAATAAATATTTAAAAAAGTCAATTATAATAACAGATAAAAGTTAAAAAACTAAATAATTGTAAATATAAAAAACAACCTTTTTTGTTTTTATTGAGTATATGTACATCTACAATAAATATTTATTTTAACATTGGTTTTGCGATGATTTATATGGTAATACGTCATTGTCTTATCTTTTTTTAGATAAATGGACTACAACTAAGGGGTTGCTACTAATTTTTTTATTTTTAATTGTCATTTTTTTATTCTGAACTAATTTTTTTCAAATTAATACTAAACATTGTCTTTTCAAAAATTATTTGTGTGAGTTCAGATATTTAAATATAGCTTATATTATACCAGTGTTAAAAATAGTAGTTAATAAATAAATAACATGAAAAACTATAATGGAAAAACTTAAGATGATTTATTTAACATAATATTATCTGCTTAAATTAATATTTATTAGATATTTCTTTTATGCAATATTTGTGTAGTGTATAATGTTTTGTTGTATCGTATGTGTTTTTAAAAAATGAATTAAAAATATTTTATGTGCTTGCAAAACTCTTAGGTTGCGTTAAATACCTATTTGGAATTTGCACTTTATTGGAGGTAAATTGTTTCAACATTTTATACAGGTTGATCAAATTTACATAAGAAATGATTTTTTTTGGAAAATAATTACAGTTTACTGCTATCTACTAAGAAGGTTTATATATAAAAGTATACAATTTATTATAAGACAACTGGTTGTACAGGGTAATTCATTAAGGACGAGACACTAATTTTTTTCTTAAAATAATTGCAAATTTGTAGTTTATCTTTTTGAAAACAAAAGTATTATTTATTAGTACTTTCTAGAGTTTTAACAACATTTGAAACATAAATTGGAACGAATATATTAAAAAAACTTTTTAAATTAAGAATAATTTGCTAACAATTTTGACTGGTCTATAAACAGTTTTGGATGATCACTTTTAAAGTTATGAGAGTTGAAAGTTTAGGACAGAAGGAATAGTGGAGGGAAGTATTATTTTTATCTACGCGCATAATGTACTTAACCGCACACCACCTCCCGTCTTAAATTTAAAACTGTAATGACTTTAAAAATAATTTTAAAAAAAGTGGTTATCGACCAGTCAATAACAATATGCTTAGTAAATTATTCTTAATTAAAAAAGTTAGTTAAATTGATACGTCACCATTTTAGTTTTAATATTGATAAAACTCTGGAGAATACTTAAATAGATAAATAGTTAATAATTTTATAATATTGTAAAATAACATAAGTAAAAGTGTTAACATAAAGAAAAACTATAAAATTCTTATTACTTAACGAGAAAATGAATGTCTAACGTTAAACTGATCACCCTGTATGCGTGTATATACGCACTTATTATTTTGCATTTTTCAAAAGTTTTCTTAATCCAATACTGAAGCTTTCTAATTTTAAATTGATTAAAATAATAAATTAACTTAGTAATCGAATCAACTAATTTTATTTCGATTCATCGCTGTTTTCTAAGTATGATTATTGATTGTACTTATTAATACGTTACCGCCTGATTTTATTTGATTTTGATTTTTATTTCTACTATTTGTATTACAGCAATTAAAATATACTTTCCAAGAGAACCTGTTTTTTTTTATTGTTCAAAGACTTTTCAAGCTTATGGCTACTAACCTTACAGTCAATATTATGTTTTAATTTCAATGCTGAATTGTTGAAGCGGAATACTATTTTTTTTTAATGCTTTACTAAACTAAATGTCATCTACATAATATTATTGTTTTCCGTTTATTGATTATTATAAATTAGGTTTGGAAAAAGGCAGCTGTCTTTACGACTTTACCTAAGATTAAATATACAAAATATCATAAAAAGTGTATTAGAACTATGTTGAATAAAATGTAATCGTTTATCTCAGCATATATAATTATATATATATTATACATAACAATATTTTATTTAATGGAAAATATTGCGAGCTTATCAATTATGTACCTATCAGAGCATATGTGTTACACAATGTAGAATGTTATTTATACAGTGTTTACTATAGTTGACTTTACGGCCGATGGCACAATAACAAAATTAAGGATGTCACAACGACGGCGGATAGTACTATTATGCACTTAGTCGCCACGCTTTGTTTTGTTTTAATTTTTTTACATTAAAATACACACATGGTAATTGAGTAAGACGCATGTTCGCCAATATCGAAGTTCATGCTGTACCTGCAATCGTCTGAATCTCGACTAAAGTCTAGACTCATGCGTACGCAAACGGTCACAATATAATTGCGTAAGTCGATAGTAACTATTTACATTGTGACTAAAACCGAATCCGTTATCGGTTTTGCACGTTTTTACTACACAATATAACAAAGTATGACAAATCAAAATAAAAAAAAAATTTCGAAACAATAATTTTAGTTATCAACGAAAAACTTAATGGCGTGCAATTTATTATTATTATTTTTTATTGTCTTACCTATTACTGGAAAAGAGACGAGTCTGCTGACGTTTTCTTTGTCACTTTTTTTGTGAAACCCATTTATAATTTGGAAATTTTTAAATAAATCTTTATTTTTATTCAAATCTACTACATCTATGAGGTAGATTTAAATCTAAAGGTGCAGACTTGAATGTATCTTATTTCTTATAAAAATATGTACAAAACAATTAATTTATTTTATATTATTTGTGTCTCTACGTTTGTCATTGACTCAGTGTTATTTGAAATATAGCAGTATTTTTTGTTGACCCAGTATTATTTTGTTCTATACTTATTTAATATTGCGGTGTTTAGAAAGGTTTATATTTTTATAAAATATTTTTTTCTTATCTCAAAGCGTTCTGTAGAAAATAAAAATGGAATTATTGTGTTTTGTAAATAATAGGTAAACCGCGCAAATACGGTTTTTTAGAATATATATTAAAATGTTGAGGCACATTAGAAATATCATGGAACATAGAATGAAGTTTTAACATAAATATTGAAAATAATAATAGTTTTGAAAAACTAACTTGAGCTGCTTGTAAACTGAATGTCTGAATGTATGCAGTTCAGTACTATATACAAGTAAGTTAAAACCAATATAAGATCAAACAAAATAAAAAACTAGAACATTAGAATTTAAGTGAAAAATATTTTTAAGTGCGATAGATGAAATCCGTATTTTTTTACTGACACACCATAACATTCTACGAAAAGCGTATATTAGGTATATTATTATGCAATAATTAGGAATGGAACGTTAGATGTGGAAAAAGTCTAGTGATGTGTCAATTAAATATAAAAGTCTTCTAATAAATAATATATCTTGTAATGTGATTCGTAAATCTGTTTGTGTCAAGGGACCATAAAACATTAATTGTTAGTTAAGAAATACCAAGAATTTTTAATGATATTTTCAGTGATTAGTTTACCGAGCTTTTGTGTCACTTATTTCAGCATGAAATCTCAATCCTGAAAATCTTTGCATAGCTAAACACATATTTAAATGTAATTTACTTAACGTACTACTCATTTCTAGGGTTCAACACTAAATATACTAAATATATTCTACTGAAACTTATCTACTTAAGTTTTATTTTTAAGTTCAGATTTTGATTAAAATAACCCATACCAAACTGCTTATTAAATTCGGTATGTGGTTTAATTTAATACCAGATACATACGCTCTGTTGTTTTTTAACCCTTTTAAAGCTGACTTCTATTGAGCAGATGACATTTTTAAAAAATATTTATTATATTGGTCGTTAACGTTATCGACAAGTGTCTAATACAATAAACATCCTTAAACAAACGTCGCTGAGAGTGAGCGATAGAATTTGATTTCGTCATTATCTACACAGAATAAATGTTTGCGGTCCGACTTCCAAGACAATTGGCTATTAGGTATAATATCAAAGAAATACGGTTACATAAGGTTTCATATTTACCGCTTTAAGCTCAAATATTATAATTTCAACATTTCCATAATACAACTTTTCATCATATTATTAGTACAACTTAGTTAATATTAAAAAATAAATTTCTCTAATTGATTTATAAAACGTTTGTAAGAACATTTTAAACACCATGTCCACACTATGGAAACGTAAAGGTGAGCATGTGAATTGTTATATGAGTCAGCTCATATATTTAAAGGTAATTGTTAAATTATGTTGTCTTATCGTTTTGCATCCGCCCGGGAAACGTTTTCAACAGCTTTACGGCGCGTTGCGTATGCTTGTTTTTCGCGTATAGTTTTCCACACACTCGAACCACGTACGGTTTCACGTTGAACAATATTTGGCGGCGTAAAAGCTTTAAGAGAAAAAAAAAAGAAACCTCTTTCGAAATCGGACAAAGGCGTTCTGGCGGAATAACGTGTGCGGTTGTTGTGTGCGTTTGCCGGGCTAGCGGGGCGGAGCGGGCTGTGACGCGTTTAAGCGTGCAAGCGCCATCCCAGATAAGTCGGACCCGTTCGGTGGTAGGAGCCGTTGATGATAACGGGTCGAGCAGAATAGTATTTAAATATGCGATAAACGCACCGGACAATAGTCGAAAGCCTGTAGGATCGGTGAAATCAGTGCAGGCGCTGTTCGCCGGTAATATTACACTATTCAGTTGGAGACGCGCGGCAGTCGTTTTTCGATCTTCGTAGCTACACACGATTTCTACAGGTTTTTTTTTATTCATCAAACAATAATAAATCCGAATCCGTTATTACAAGTAAACTGTCTAAAACCGATTTCGAATACCTACCAACATTGCCGATATTTATTTTTACCGACAATATTCAGTTTAATCAACACCACCAACAACAACAATCGTTCACGCCTAACCGGGTCACCTAGTTTTTATTGGGATTTTTCATTTTGCATGAGTTATCGAACATGACAACCAACATGAAGGTAGACAACGAAATGTTCCAGTTGGACGTGGCGCCACTGTGCAGCGAGACTGTGTCGTTGGCCGCGAGGGAACTTAGAGAGACTCCGGAACAAGTGCAGGAGTCGCTGGCCGGACTGCGAGCCATACTTAAAGGTAAGTTCACAGACGTCCCCAAATGCGTTTGGGTTTTTTTTGTATCTCTCTCCACCAAACAAAAAAAAACATTTGTATTTTAATCGCAATTATGGCGTTACAACCAAAACCGGTTATCCACCATGATTTATACGGTCACATCCCTTCCCCTCCCTTCCCCTGCCCAAAAATAGTTTATCCACAGTGAATTTTCCTTGGCTTTATGTGGTCAACCGGCGAATTTGGCACTCCTGACCGACCAAAGTGTTTAATTTCGGTACAAGACATATTGTTATGTATACTTTTAAACATTTAGAGAAATTTTTAAGAAATGCCGATAAAAAAATGTTTAAAAAAATTCTTTATTGTTACGGATGGTCGAAAATAACGCTGGTACGCGGTTTGCTATGCCCAACGGTGTTTGATCAATGTCTAACGTGTGTTTGCTTAGTAGTAACAATGAAATAATGTACGGTATTCATTATGGTGGCGTTTATCACTTTATCGTGTCCAAACAATGATCAGCGATTGTAGGCAATTTTCTATTAATTCTTGAAATTTTCATCCAGTATATTTTTCGGATTTATTAACAAAAAATTTTATAACTGTTCTATAAAGGTTATTTTATTGGTTGTCAATAAAAATATATAAATGTTTTAACGAACATCAATTGTGCATATTATTACCGTTTGAGAGCAATTGTTTACCTTTTTGTCGACCAGCTAAATACATTAATGGCCGTTCTCACCAGTTTAGCTTAGAAATTAAGTATAGATCAATAAGGTATACTAAAATTATAGTATTATACTCTAAGCTATACTTAAATGTTAAGCATAACAGGTGAGAACGACATTAGTCATAAAACATAGCTTAGAGTGTGCAGATTGCAAAAATATATTATATACGATTCGTTTTAATAGCAAATAAAAATAAAAATTATATGCAGCATAAAGATAATTTTAACTCGATTCCGCTTCGTTTGTAAGCATTTTTTTATGAATTAAGTACATTTATTATGTGAAGATTTGTTTTATTCGTTTATTTTTATTTGTATAGAAAGTATAATACTTTTATAAAGAAATGATTAATATACGCTAGTCACATTAACAGTAATAGTATTACTGTAATCGTAACTGTTATTATGATAAAACATTTTAAATGCAATTAAAATTAACCTTAAATATCGTAAATAATGCACATTAATACTATCGAAATAATTGTTACACTAAACATAATAGGCCATTAGTGTAAAAAGGTTAATATAGTTTATTTAATTAGTGATTCACTATAATTTCATTCGTATTGATCTGCTTGACACTACACGACACACATCAAAGTAGATTTTTAACGTTATTGTTTTAGGCCAGTCAATCATTATTTGACAATAAATCTACGACGACGGCCGATTATATCGAACGTTTTTGTTTCCAAGTCTTTGACGATGTGAGAGATTAAACTTCATAAGAAAACTATAGGCATTAACTATAGCCCTAGATTATGTAGGTACAAATTTCGTAGAGACAAAACGATGCTTGTCAAACAGATTATTTTTTTTTTTTTTAATACTGATATATTTATACAAAACAGCTACTGGATACCATTGGCTCGAATACTGTGTTATCATTTATCAATACTAGGAAACGTGCAGAAATCTAATCAAAGGTACACAAAAACATGTTCATGACATGAACTTGCACTTAATTTGCCAACGTTCTTTTTATTAATATCGCATTTTTAGCTATCAACAATGTAGATGTACTACGCACATGTACCAGTTATAAATCATTAATAACGAGTATTAATAAATAATAATTACTAATTAGGAAATTGTTTGTTTTATTTAACTATACAAAAAGAGTAGTTCAAGTTAGCATCGGGTGAAAAACAAATACAAATGGTTATCTTTCGTTCTAATGATGGTATAGTATAAATTATGTTTAAAAAAAATACATATTATATTTCGTATTGTAATTACTATATTTGAAGGGCATCCTTTAAATCAGATTTTTAAAGTTCATGTGTAATATATCTATTGGCGATAACAGCTTAGCGCTTACATCATGGGTTTGAATAAAATTCGCTATAATCAAAGGCGTCCTTGAATAAGAGGTTTTTTTTTTTATAGAAATTAATCAATACCGATAACTTTTGCCGATCGGCTTACCGTCTTGCAAAAATTATTCTTCTAACATTTTACACAATACATAAAAATAAATGTATTATAGTGAACCAACACAACCAGACACTCAAAAATTGTATTGTTGTTTTTAAAATACTTATATTGTTCTATCGCAATCATGACTCTTATCATTGCAATCAAGATCATACAAACAACCACTGGTCACTGAACGTTGATTTCTGTAATTTTGTTAACGATAGATCAGCTATAGTGTAGATAATATTATTATTATGAAAAAACAATTACTTAAAATCTCTAAAACATACTATAACTAAATGACGACCTAGTGTAAAAATACCCCCCCTCCTTATTTGGGGAAATATTTTGGATGGATTGGAAAACGACCAACTAGGCCAGTCATCGAAGCATTGTATTTGTTTTAAATTTTGGGGGAATTTTGTTTTTTATTTGAAATGTGATATTGAGTTTTATTTTAAAGTGATGTAAATAGCTAGAAATGCATTGCTGATTTTTTGGACGCTAGCAATAAGGACAAAACAACATTTTAGACAACACAAATTATATCACTGAAATAAGCCTACCGCAATACTTGTTATGGTCTTTCTTAATTAATTTTCTCATGTCCGTTGCACTACAAAAACAATAACATATTTTATTTTATTTTCCAGAAAAGAACACACTATTGTTCAAAGACAACGATGAGTATCTAAAAATATTTTTGAGACCGACTAAATACTATCCGGAGAGCGCTTACAAGCTGGTAAGTCACTTGAATGATAATTATTATTATATCCGTTTAAATCCATTGTTAAAACTTTTTGACACACATACATTTAACGTGTCCACAACAGGCAAATGTCTGTAATTACACATTGTTCGTTTATGATTATTTTTTTCATAATCGACAACGCACCAAAGATAAGTTTGTTTACATCTCCGAGGCCGGTTCTCACGATATGCAAATGTCAACATGTTTCGCGCCGATAACGTTTGTATTTAATCAAAACCATTATGTCATTATGCAAGCACGTATCAACCTTTCGCTGTTTCCAATACCATAACACTATTGAAAAGACACAAGAAATAATAAAAAATATATATATCCAATTACTGCACAATATTATCATGTTATATTTTATGATATAACTAAAATGGCTTGGTGTTATAATTTAAATAGTCACACAAAGTCAACAGTTTTTTTTTATCTTTTTTTATTTAAAAAAACTTGTAGACTACGAGTAGGGAAGCTTTCCAGTGATAGGACCTTTAAATTGTGAATCTTAAAATGTAATGTTTAAACGGTGATCAGTGTTTTATGACTTATTATAACGCCTAATCGCTAATTAACATTTGAGTTTAGGGGTGGTAATATACAATGTTTCATTATATTATAGGGATTTTAGTGTGAAATATTTTTCATTTAAAAATATTATAATCAAATGTTAAAACTTATTTTATGACGGATAACTTATTACACCAATTTTATTATAGTTACTCATACATTAATAAATAGTAAACAATACACTTCACATAACTAAACATACTGAAAAGTTTCTTACATTTGGTTTAATTGTTCGAGTGCTTAAGAACATTATAATTTATAATAGTTATTTCCATATTGTGCCTCTCCGTAGATAACTTACTAAGTATTATGCATGTGTATAATTTGTACATTTAATTTATTTACTAAGTAATTAAATAGAAAAGAAATGAGTTTTGAATTCAAGTTTATTTCATGATAATATAATATCATTACATGTAAAAAAACGTTGTACTATCTTTTTTTGGCGTGTTAAAATTATTTTTTTAATTTTATAAACGTAGATATCCGTTTTTTTTAGTGTAAATACTGTACTTAACCTATAACTACGTACTTAGGGTGGGGGGGTGTTTAGAACACCCCCACAGCTTTAATATTTAAAAGTGAATAAATAAATAAATAATATTGTAACTAATTAATTAGTATTGAAAAAACTTGTAGGGGGTAGAATATTACTTAAAGTATAGGATAATGAAAATACCACACATACGTTATGATATTTTTCATTACATACCTAATTAAAAGTTAAGTAACTCACTAGGATAAGTTAGCTAATGCTAGTTTATCTCCCCATATCATCTCTAGATCCGAGCTTCTGCGGACCGTAGACCTCAAAACCACGGACAAGCGACTTCTGGCTTAATTCGTTTTCTCAACAAACATATCGAATTCAGTATATTATTGAACACATATATAAATATATATTTAATATGTACAATATATTTGACTTTTGTATACATAAAATTACTTATATATATATATATATATATGATTTTTCATCGATAGAGCCCAAAGTATTTTTTGACTAGTCCATTTTAAATGTCCTAATTCGTGTAAAAGAATTAAACATATCTAATCACTGCAGCAGTTTAAATTTCATGTTTTTTGAGTGCTCTTATAAACAATTTGCAATCAATTTTGTCGTCTATAGCAAAGTCCGTGGCCACCATAGAACATAAATATTCGTATACCTTCTTTGTTCGTTTTGTAGTTAACAACAATGAAATCCTGTGATTATCGCGTGGTCTTTGTCGTCGACGGTGTAATATCATCAATAATAATTGTTATTACTAATTTTCAACGCACCATTATGTTGTCGTGTTATCGCAACAACAAAACGAGGCGGCGTTTATTTGCGTTAGCACTATTTTATTATTACATACTTTATGGGCGACTCGTCATAGTAATGTTTTCAATGAACTTTGAACGAATTATTGCTCGCAAGGATCATTCCAGGAAGTTCGCGGACGGTTTCAGCCGACTTTTGATTACATCTTATCTTATTAAAATTATTATAAGTAAATCGAGTAAAATAAATACCGTCTTGCCGGTTTTCCGCTTGCAATTATTTCTCGTGTCTTCCTTAGTAATTAATTATTTTAATAGTATAAATTTTATCAAAACCCACACATTAATTAGATGCGCTCACACTCGAACCGGTCCGCTTGGATTGTTTGGGTTGAAATAATGTATATTGTTATATAATTACAGAGATAAATTGTCAGAGATAATTGCAAAATCCTAATCTAATTAAAAAAAAAAAAAAAAAAATATATATATATATGTATATTTTATTGAACAATATAAAATATAATAGCATCAAAGGCGGTATCGACAAAAGCAGTAGCCGCCTCTGTAATTAAGTTTTTACGTTGGTAACGATGTCGGGGAGATATCGGAATTATGCAAATAACGGCTATCCGGGAATGTCTATAAAATTAAAAACATATCTCATAATAATAAAATTATCTAAACAATAATAATAAATATTTACATCACTGTGTTTAGATGAAACGTCTGGCGGAATTCAAGAAGAAGCACGACAAAATCTTGGCCAACCCGTTGCCCAGAGAAGAGAAGAAATTGTTCACTGAAAATAACGTAGTCAACGTACTGGTAGACCGAGACCAGAAAAACCGGAGGATTCTAGTCTTAAACATGGGATGTGAGTATACACAGGACATTACCTTTTATCAAAATTGGACGTCTGGAAGAGAGCATGTGGGGGAGTCATATTTACCAAGTCGTTAGCACCGAACATCCTTTGAAGATTGCCACGATTTGTTTTCGGAAAGTAATGGGGAAAAAAATGTTAAAACGACCTCGAATACGTTTTTTTTTGTGCAAATAAGTTAAATACTGTTACCTTGCAACGCGCGCGCCGTGTATTTAACTAGAGATAAAAAAATCAAAACGCCTTGGTACGGCTGACATCTGCCCTATGGTGTTTTGATAACGCAATTCCGTGTAGTAGTAAGTGTACGGCTGCGAAAAATATGTATTTGCGTTCCCGGAAAAAGGTCGACCCTACGCACAAGAACTGATCGCTGTAGAAAACTATACTAGGCAAAAAAAATATTAACACCGACGACAAATCGCCAACTAAGTTTCTTTGTATAGTTTTTCGTTACTACTTGTCGACAACTTTTGTTTAAGTTTTGTCCGTCCTGGTACAGCAAACGATTACCGATTCGGGTCCGGCCGACCTTTGCCGTTGACCGTGTAGCGCACTTACCCGCACAAGAACAAGGTTTTCTCCGAAATATTTTTCTATTGTTATCGAGCCCATGCCTACTGAAAAGTACAAAAATGAAAAATTTCTCGAATCGATTCGTTCGTACACTTTAACCGCTTGCAAAAAATATAAAGGTATATATATATATATATATATTAAGGGGGTTCAAAAAACCTTATTTAAGAATTTAGTTTGCAGCACCCCTCACCACTTTTTTTTGTATGATATAAAAACAAAATTCTGTGAAAATATGGTTACGATTTCTCAACCCCTTCACGTGCCACATCGGGGTTGAAGTTTCTATGATCCTCTTTGGCTAAACTTCAACCCAGTTGCCGTACATGAAGGAGTTGAATAATCAAACCCAACATTTTACGGAATTATTTATATTTATATCATAGAAAAAAATAGGAGGGGGGGGGGGTGCTTACAAAATTAAAAAGTAAGATTTTTTTTTTAACCACTCTAATATATATATTTAATAAACTAAATTTTGAGTATGATGGGTCGTAATATCTGTAATATACACATCAACCACACAGGCGTACCATTTTTTTTTTATTCCCTTGTGATTCAAGCCATTAGAGTTCCATCATTAGATGGTATCTTTAAACATACCATACACAACTAATATATTTTTCTTTTATAATACCTTATGCTTATTATACTAATTTTTAACCAAGGGCGGCTCCAGGGGGGGCCCTAGGGGTCGCGGCCCCCCAGACCCTTATTTAAAAAAAATTGTATATATAACTGAAATTATACTATTGTCAACCGAATATTTGTTATAAAATTTTTTGAAAATTGTGACTTAGCCCCCCCCCCCCTAACCAAGTCACTGAAGCCGCCTCTGTTTTTAACTGTACTAATTGTATAATTTTCTAATAAAAAAAAATCCCTTGTGATAAAAATAATTGACTTTTGCTTTTTTTCAGCTGCCTGGGATCCCAAGTGCCTTACTAGCGAACAATTGTTCAAAGTCCTCTATCTGATTCAAGTGGCGTCACTTGTGGAACAGGAGACCCAAGTCCGTGGGGCCGTTATTATCATCGATTTCCACGGGTTGTCCACTAAACAGGTGATGGCGCTGTCGCCGTCGTTTGCCATGACGTTGCTATTGTACATTCAGGTGAGAAAATCTTTATTATTTCAGGGGTGTCATTCGAGGGATGTGTCTGGTGTATTTTTGCACTCCCGTTTTTTTTTTGCGTTTGCCGTTTGCTCTCATTAAATATTAAAAACGCGCTAATATTTTCAACATTTAGTCGGACCATTGCACTCAGCAACGATACACTCTGCATTATAATTGTTTTTGAAAGGCTTGGCTGGGGGACAAATCGATAAACCTATTTAAACAAAAACCAAATGACGTCCGAATATTATTACCTATGGTTTAGTTTAATGTTCCGCCTTACCGCCGGAATACAATAATGTACACCTACCGGCTTTCAATTAAGAAATCGTGGCTATAACTGAAAATTCCATAAATTTCACATTGATATCACACTTCCCCAGAGCTGCTCAAATCTGGCCATGTTTTCTCAGCATACTGTTGTATTCCCGAAATCGTTGAAAACAGCTGATTATTCCACAATGAAAATTAACGTGTTCTTTGAATTTATGTTAGTTTAATTGCCCTTTACCATTTGTTATCAAACGTTGTTACATGGTAGCAAATTGGCACGTGTACGAATATTACTAATGCATGTTCTGCTGATATAAATTTGCGGTATACGTCAGTTTTTCGACTGCTTCTCGATAATTAATGTATCTACTACACCAAACACAATAACATTAAATAATACGCATTTATCATAAGTACGTGTTAACATAGTAAGGCATAGTACATTAAGATATGCATTACTATTATCCCGTTAAGTTGAATAAATAAAAACGTCATAGAAAAATTGACATAATTAACTATAGACTTTAAGCCTAAGTCAATTAAATTAGCTACAAGTGACCGTCGCTCAATCATTTTACTTCTTTTGAACATTAAAAAATAATAAAAACCATCAGACGATTTTAAAGACACCAACACATAACTGCAATATTATTACTTGTTTTTATTTCTAAGAACTACGGCAAAAGTAATTTTCTAGATAGTTTCGATAAAATCTCGTTTTATTTTTATATTTTGCATTTTGAGGAATGGTCGCTTTATGGGTAACGTTTTGTTAAATTACCCGTCAAAATGGAATTTTGATTATATGGCTTTCTCGTTCATAGAGAACACAAAGATGATATTGTGACTCCCAATGTGATCCAGTTAAAACTATTCTGGATCTTGTTTACATAATATTATAACCTATAAAATCTAGAGGGTAATGACATTTTTATTTTAAGTAAATTAAAGCAAGTGTTCAAAACTGTCTTGATAATATCACATATTTTGTGTTGCGTTGATATAAGACAAATGATTAGAGAATTTTAAAATAAAGCGGCTATATTTATTAATAATTAATACTATACATCATATTTTCATATAGTTTCACATTAGTAAACTAAACAATAATTTAATTATATAATTTTCAATTCGTTTTTATCAAAGTAACCAATGTCTTTGTTTTGAAATAGTTGGTATAATGATATGTCTTCTCTTTTTATTCATTACCTTATCGAGCCCATACCATACGGGGTTTTCGGTTCAATACAATTGTTATTTAATTAATAAAATAAATACTGACCGAGAGTTATTATAATATCAGGAAGCCATGCCACTGCGTTTGAAGGAAGTGCACATCGTCCGCCAACCGTTTTTATTTAATATGGTATGGCCGATGTTCAAGCAGTTCATTGGAGAAAAACTCAAAAAACGCGTAAGTATCCATACACTTGGTCCTGCTAGTTTTCCTCCATATAAACTATACGTCTTTTATTTTACACTCGGTAGTTTATTATTTTTTTATTAATATTTTTCACACCCAGAATTTCATCTGGGAATGGACGAAAGTAATAACTGCGGGTCTCGTTAAGAAATTGCTTTTTTTTTTGGACAATCTCACTTTTCCTTATACGAAGGAGGGGTCGATTTAATAACTAACCGTAACTAACTTTTCTCCGTCGTATCGCAGTTGTTTTTCCACGGCAACAAAATGGCTTCTTTGCACAAGCACTTGGACGCCAACATGCTCCCGGAGGATTACGGCGGCAAGAGGCCAAAATTGAATTACTCCAGTGCCGACTGGTATCCCGTTTTGCAGAACTTAGAACCTCATATAGAAGGTGAGTTATTGTAATCAACTGGTATTATTTTTGACACGTGGTTCCATGTATTTCATCCTACGGTCGCGAAGCTCGACGGACAATGACAACAATATAATTGATCATATTAACAACGAAATGAATTTTTTTATATAATATTCGGTTAATACACCATTAGCCGTATATTTAACATTAAAACACCACAACTAAAACCTATATAATTGTATTATAACTATTATATATTTTTTCATTTCAGACTGGAATAAGTATGGTCTAGTAAAAATATAGCCACGTAATGGTCATATCTCACGCAAAGCGAATGACGATGGAGTTAATTAAATTATTGCAGTGCATAATCGTCTCTCCGGGTCGTACAATTTTGATTTATAATTTAAATTAAGTTATTATAATTGAAAAAAAAATTGTATTTATAGTTTATATAAATATTGATTGTAAGTTATAAACATATTGTGATTACAACGGATTTGCCATATTTTATACTATTCCCGGTTAGGCAACAATTCAGAATTGTGCAGTTATTAACCTATAATTACTAGTGTAGGCCATGTAGTTCTCAATAACGTAGCGATTTTCTTAGTATATAAACAAAAATATCACCATACGTTTTTATAGTTTTAATAATTTTTTTTTTTTTTTATATATGAAGCCTTATGCTAATAGCTTGAAATTATTAGCATAATCAATCTCAGTCTATATACTATTACTTAAACAAAATAAAATAGAGCAATTCAATTATTCCATTTACATTATGATATTTTATAATGCAATATGTATATTATCAACAATGAACCGACACCTGTAACAAAGCATGTTGTATACTTTACTATGATCTGACTAGTTATCTCAATATAATTATTGTTAAGTTTCGTTTTATACCATTATAACATTTCTTTAGTTTTATTGATCTGGTTTTTAAGCAACTAAGTTACCTATAACTTTTATTACCGTATTTTACATATCTATACTTAAATTGTATGCTATTCAATTTATTGTAATATTATACTATATAAAAACCATCAATAATTCAATTACACTAGTAGGTAATAACAAATTTGATTGTATATATATATATATACAGAAATTAAAAAAAATACTCGATTGTGTTAGTTTTTTCAAATTGACTAGTAATTGTGTACTGGAAATGTATTGTATTTTATATATTTGTTGCAGAATAAAAAAAGAATGATGCAAATATTTATATATATATATATATATATATACATATTTTGAAGAAAATATAAAATAAAATAATTGTATAAACTATTTGTCCTTTATTTTATTTATTTGTATTTTTAGTAACTATTAAATTGTAAACGGAGTCACTAAAATTAAAACCAGGACAGTCACCCTGCGTATAATTGAAGGTTACTTTAGATTATTATATCTTAAAACGATGACATTGTTAAGTTGTTAACTTAATAATAGCCGTGGGGAAAGGTTACTTGTACGAAAGATTGGTAATTGTATTTGTACTATCAACAAACGAGTCCAACGCCAAATCAAGAATATTTTATTGTCAAATGATGATTAAAAATTCGTCCCACCTCGAGACCGACGTTATTTTTGGTTTCATTATTTCACTAATATTTGTGTTCTGTTTTTCTTAAATTTAACACGTATGAGTAATAAACAATACTAATAATTGTAAAAAATGATTTTAATTTTTCTAGATTTAGTAAATTTAGTGCTATTAAATTATTTTATTTATCAAAACTTTTTATTATTACTTTTTATTTATTGGATTGATTCTTTTATTTACTTAGTCTATTAATTGGAAATAATTGTAAATCCAAGATACTTTCAAAAGCTGTAACTTAAATAGGTTCACCTTATAAAATCTAAATTTCAGGGGCTTAAGTTAGACAGTTAGACCGAAGGTAGATCTAGAGTGGTACTATAACATAGTATACAATTTTCTCAATTATTTGTTGTTAACCTTTTTTTTTAAAAGTTGATAATATATTTTTTTTTACTCGTGTTATAGATCAAATATGTTGACCTATCTTCAGACTAATTTTCATCTCTTCAATCCTAAAATTGCGCCTATAAAATAAAATAAAACCAAAAAACGTTCAGCCCTCCCAGGAGGCAGAGAGTTGTCGAAATATGGGTTTAAGGCAATGCGTGACTAGAAGTATGCCTAATCAATATTCTATAAATGTTTCGATTGGATCCGACCGTTTTTCGTGAAGATATAGTTAAAAAAGTTGATGGTTGAAAAACAAGTAAAATTTGTTCAGTTCTTCTCGGTTTTGAGGATGAAAGAATTGACTTTTTCTACTTTTGACCCACCAAAGCACCAAACATTTACGATTTCGAATCTATAGAGGTGCTACTCGAGTAAATAAGTCCACAGGAAAAAAGTTTTCATGACTTCAGACACCAATAAAAAACACATCTTCATAAAACCAATACCTTCACAGCCTTCATCGCATCGAAGTTAAAATATAATTTTATCCAAATATCTTATAACAAATATCCCATTTAGGTTCCCTATTTAAAGATATGGTTTTCCATAGTTTAGAATCAATAACTAAATTACTTTTTTATGATTAGAGTAAAATCTAAATGCAAAAATAGTTGGATAATATGCATGTTTATTTTTTCTCATAATTTTACAAAATATCATCATAGGTAATCAATTTTATTGGATTTTTAGTAAACATTTTAAATCAATATTTAATTTTAAGTAATATAATATCAACAGCTGTTACTGTTTGAGTAAATCATCATAACTTTTTATGGGTTACACAGGTATTCGCTACTCTAGATCAATCAATTTTGAGTTTTTTACCAATTCCTTTAATCTTATCGATTTTTGCTCCCGCCTCTTCTTGAACTTCTATAGCGGCTACAATCGGTTTCAACGGGTCAATATAATCAGCCAGGAATTTGATTACCGTTTTGGTGTCGGGTACTACACTAGGAAACTCGTCGGGTATGTTAATATCAGGGATGATCCCTTGATCATCTTTCTTGTCTGCCTCTTTGTCATCTTTCTCAGAACCCCAGGGGTTCCACGAAGACCAATCGTCGGCTTCAGACGTTTTAGGAGTCTTTTCGTTTTCGGTCGGAGCTTCTTCCCCAGCATTTGATCCCCACGCGTCCCAGGATGGCAATATCCAGCCTGAGCCTTTATTCGAACGACGGGACGTCCGCGCCGTTTTCTTTATTGTTTCTTCTTCTTCTTCCTCGTCATCGTCTTCATCGTCGTCATCATCATCATCATCATCATCATCGTCATCATCATCTTCTTCATCTTCTTCCACCTCTTCCTCTACGAATTCTTCCTTTCGACTTACTTTGCCTTTTTTATACTTCTTGCACTCTTCACAACTCTCACTCTCAATGTCATGCCCGTCTTTTACTAGCATACCGATTTCTTTGTCACGTGTGATCGAACTTGGCAATCTTCCCGTCAGCAGGTACCTGAATGCTTCCGCCGGTCTTAACGTTTCATACAACTTTTTGGGCGTGTACGCCTGCAATCAAATATACGACTATTATGTTGTTGATTACTAATAATAATATTTGATATTGGAGATTATAAAGTTGTTTTTAAATCACTTGATTTTAGGACTTATGGGGAATTTCATTTTTACCTAAGTTTTAAAATTAAAATTACCAAAAAATGTACAATAAGTGGAAGTGTCATTTGAATTCTAAAATTATACAAATTGAGAATAATTATCTTTGAATTAAGTAAATCTTTACTTAGCGTTTAAATGGAAAATATTAATATTTAGTCTATATGAGTTAGAATATTATTTAAGAGGACGTCGCAGTCAAATATTTCGAGTACTAAAACACCGCTTCGGACTTCAAATAGTACTCAGAAACTATTAATCGTAGAATAAATCTAAGGATACCTAAAGAAAGCCTGGAATGTCTACTATGTGCGTATAGAGCCATATTTCCAAAAAAAAATTGTTTACTTATAGTTATTTCAATAAGAATTTTTACTTTTTTCAAACGTTCATAAAACCATTGTAAATAAAGTTATCGAAAAAAACTCTCTGTAGGCACGTAGAAAAAGTTCTGATCTTTCATATGGTACTATAAACAATTTTCTACCACCAAAAGCGTACGAGTACTATTTGAAGTGCGAAGGGATGTTTTTTGAATTTTTATAATAATTATTACGTCGAGAGCTGGCGCGCCTAGCGGCCAATTTACTACAAATCTTTATACGTTCGGAAAACCGGTTTTGGGCCGACTGCCGTAGCGCGGCGACAGCGATAACGTCAACGGTGACACCGCAATTATATTATTACCTGAAGTAAAAACAGATAACCCAATTTTTAACAATCAATTCTCAATAATAAACAAGTATTATATTTTACTTGCGCAGCGATACTGTTATTTAATATTTGCTATTTTATGTTCATTATTTTATAGAGAATTAGCTGAAGAAGCCAGTCGCTAAGTCACTTGTATGAAAAAGGTAGCAATTGTAGTAAATTATAATTTGTAAAAATTATGATTTAAAAAATGGTTTAGGGAACGGGGGGAGGGAGGGGGGTTATTGCACACTGTAAAAAAACGGAAAAATATTCAAATACCTCTCCGAAAAACCGAAACATTGTAATACAATGTTTACACCCCAGGCCAAAATTAGTGTGGGGCCCCCTCCCCTCCTCAGACCAAAATTGGAATTTTTTAAGTTGCTATGTGTAAATTAATCAACAGTCAATTTTTAGTTGCAATAAATCATATAGATCAGTAATGTATTTTAAACAACATTTTGATTTTTGGGGGGTCTCCATTTCTTTTTTGTATTACCTGGTGTCCGTAATTTCTATATTCTTATTTTTCGTAAAGACGGTTTTTTACTCTCAATCTAAGCCACCCCCCTCATTCAATGCCGACCACTAAAAACGTATTTATCTAACATAAATATTTGAAAAATGAATTTGTCAAACGTTCTAAGTGCCAAAGTATAAAAATTGAACTTTATAATTTAAATTGTATTTTATCCATTACCGGTGTAGTGCACCGGTCGGATGACCGCGTACAAAACACCGTAAACGACCAACGTTTGTAACGAAAAACTAGGAGTAGGTTTTTTAATGAATAAGTTAAACTTTTGAATTAATTGTAATAGATATATAATAATGTTTAATAAATTTGATATAATAATAATGTTTAATAAATTTGATATAATAGTAATGTTTAATCAATTTTGAAGTTAATAACTGAGTAGTGCAATCAGTCCTATCGTTAATTGACTACCGACTACTCGACGCCGTCGCTCTACTCGAACATAATCAAATAATCAATTAAAAGAATAAAGTATAATTAAATTATTACAAGGGGACACCCATTGGTCACGTCTTAGTGACCATGCATAGACGCGAAAGAAGGACATGCCCTTATAGAGACCCATGTGCACTACGTGGGTTTACTACACCGGAAAGAATTTTGTAAATTTCAAGTAAGGAATAGATATTTATTAAAAAAAACAATCATATTTAAAACTCAAAAATATGTTATGTTTCCGCTAGTAAAATAAAAAAAATCAAATTATAAAGTTCAATTTTTATACTTTAGCACTTGGAACGTTTGACAAATTAACTCTTCATTTATACTATAATTTATTTTTCTATATAATTACAATTTATAAATTAAAGAGTATTACTCACAATATATTTCAATTATGATTTCGTATTCTATTTTTTCTATTTTTTTTTATAACAAAGCTAAATTCCGCAACAATGTCGGCGGTGACCACCATAATTTTCGGGATAACAACAGATAATCTAAGCTTATCTAATTACCTATATTATTTGTAAATATTGTAGAAATATGACTTTACTTGGGAAATACTGTATTTTTGTTGTACAGAGAAGCCACATTTTTATTTTTCCTATTGTGTTGTGTGTTTTATAGATAAAAATTATAATACAAAATTTACATATGTACACATTGTTTTTTTATGAAATAGTATTAGATTTATATATAATTATTATTTAATGAAATAAATCATAGAATATTATATATGACCCGTCCAGCACTTAAAGTTTATAACGGATACTCGTACCATTATACAATTATTATTCTATTGATGAATTTTTATAAACATGTTTTCAATTATTAATTTTGGATTTATAAATGAATTATCAGAAAGCTGAAATGTTTTACATAAAATACTGATTTTTAATGATTTTGTTTGGTGACCTATAATACTATAAAAAAAAAAACAGTAAAAAAGAAAAAAAACTAAAATATTCATTACGACCATGGACAATATAGGCTAAGCAAATTTGGAAACACGTATTTTATTGTAACAGACATGCAAAATAAGTATGCTCCAATATAAATGTTAATAAGTAAGTACGCTATACGAGGTACCAAGTTTATTCTGATATCTGAGAAAATTATTTATACGCTAAAAAAAAGTAATTAAGTTATCAGAATGATTCAAACTATGATGGGTATTGTATTTTCTACTCTGTCCATTGTTATATAAATGGTAATGAACAGTAGCTATAAAAAAAGATTTACTCGAGATTGTAACACGCGCGCGAGCTCGCGAAGTAGCGAATGTTTACCGCGACGAATCATACGTTTCCAGCATAATATTAGTTTTTACTAGATCGGCTGTCGGTGATAGAATAATGTGCCGCTCTGATAATACTACAACGCGCCGCCGCAGCACTCGTATGGGCGTGACTATAAACCGCCGCCGCCGCGCCGAGACGGAGAATAACGCCATCTCTCGGGAGTTGTATACGTAACACTTTACCTGCGACGTCCTCTTAAACTTTGTCGTTTGCATTTTCTTCACTTAAAAACCACCTCTCTAAGTGTTAGGTGTATAATTATTGTTTTAAATACTAAAAAGTATTTCCTTGAATAAACTTTTAGGCATAGTAGAAAAACACAAGCTAGACTAGAGTCTAAATTTATGACCAATGACTGACCATACAATGATTTATTGTTTATAATTGACAATAATTTAATTATTCGCATAATATATTTTGCTTTCAATTTAAAGTTAGATTTTAGTAGCATTATATTCAACAGCTCAATGTCGAAACAAAATACAAACATACAAAAAACGTCAGTTGTTATTTGCAGCAACAATCGGTTAGACGCGGTTGTAAGTTACTACCGAGTTGGTGCATGTATGATGAACTCTTGTTTATATTTTGGCAGTATTAATACAAAGAGCGGTTATAGATAAATTAAAATAAAATATATTATAAAATATCATACTAAAGTTGGATTTAGTCGGACTTTACAAGTCAATCAGACATTGTAATTAGTATGATTATTAATAGATCAGTTGTTTAATAAAATATTAAAACTCATATTTTTTATTGAGTTACTCTCTTTAGAACAAATACAATTTTTTTTAGTTTTTTTCTTTCTTTATTAGTTTGTGTTAAAGTTATTTTTTTATGTGTAAAATGATTGTTCGATTCTGGCTCTTGGTTAAAGCCGTTAACAAGAACTACAGCTGTTATATTTCAATGAAGGTGCTCTTATATTTTACAATATATTTGAGACACTTTGTTCAAGCATGTTTAACTACGTGATTGAGTTAATTGTATTTTATTACAACATAACACGTGTAAGATTCGGTGAGTAAGCAGAAGCCAATTTTGGTTGAAAACATAATATCTACTAAAGTGCGTTTCAATATATATTGCTTTTTAAAAATTATAGTACAAAACCTGAGATAAATTGGCGTATATTATGCTCAACCGATATTATTAAAAACACATTGCATGACTGTATTATGACATTGAACTAATAAAATATGTACTCGTTCTAAATCAACAGAACATTCTAGTGCGATGTATTTCTCAATTGATTAATATGTTTTGTGCGAGGCCAAACTCTACGTTAGGTATATTTTATACGAAAACAGTACAACTTATGGTAAATAAACGTCTTTGGCTTAAACTAAATAATTGGTGCCCAAGTACACAAACAAATATATAAGTATACATTATGTTATAAAAATAAATATAACTTTATTTTATCTTTTGAGACAAATGATAATATGATAACAGAAATTGTTCGGGAATTACATAGGCTGCCGCTCCCCACACCACCACCTATGCTCGCCTCTCCGACCGTTTTGCTACTATCATTTTTCATTACTACTATCTGCTCTACCGTCTACCGTACCGCGTTTTTTCGTTGACACTTTTTCACCGTTCTTTTTTGTTATGGCTTTTCTTGTTTTAATTTTTAATTTAATTTTGTTTATTTTATTTTTGTGTGTCTGTTCCTACGATATCTCCTAAACCGCTGAACCGATTTTTTCATGTAGCTAGTCTATATACCAGAAATTGTACCTCAAAGTACAATTTCTGGTACTTTATTGGGCCAAACATTAAAAAAAATTAACCCCTTCCTATTCAGAATCTAGAAAAACACTAAAAAGATACACATATTTTCTACTTAAAATTACGGCACTCTATAACTTTATTAAAAATAATCGAATTAGTTCTAATTTTGTAAGGAATAA